CAAAACTAGGCCACAGCTGATTCTGATCGCCATCCTCAAGGAACACTCAGGTACGTGAGCTTCGCTCACGCTGTCTTGGGCTACCACAGGCTTGGAATGCCAGCTGTAGCAGTTGAGCCATGAGCAAAGCATAGCTTGCTCGCGATGCTTCTGAATCCCCTAAACCCCCCAAACCGAATCCGAAACTCTGAACTCTAAACCCCAAGCCTTGTTGCAGAGCTGCAAAGAGGTTTCAACCGGCAAAGCTGCACCAGCTTACCCATAGGCCCTTAAGTGGTTCCTGTTTATGGTTTATATTTAGAATCCTATGAGGTCATCCCAAAAAGGAACTACTTAGGGGCCTATGGGTAGGGTCTACCACAGCAAGGATGGTGCTCGGCTACCTCTACCGTCGGTGAGGCTTTAGGGTGAACGCAAGACGACTTCATGAACACCTTAACCCCATGGCAGGGAAGCCCAGGGAAACTGAATCCAAGGCCGGGTGAACGGACTGCACATGTCTCGACAAGCACACTCCAGGATTGAACAGGCTACAACAGGCTCCGCAGAATTCTCGTAGGGCCTTGTACTGGGTCGCAGTCCTCTTGGGGGTTGGGGCATCGCATCTTGGAGATGTTATCAAGTTATATAGGGGATCAGGTATGTAATAACTTTCGGATGTGACTGGAGCACCCCTAAAGACCCGCCACATGAGTGCCCGACGGCCGTCTTGTGACTATCCTCACTTCCATTCCATGTTCTTTTTCAAGAAGGCTATCAACAGGTCTGCCAGCAAATCAAAAGAAGCTCTGTACAGGCAGCCAGCTGAAGCATGGCAAACATGATTGCGTGACGGTGCGTCAGCAGTGCAAAAGAAGTTCGGTCCTTCAAGGTGTGCTTCAGCACGTGATGATCCTGAGGGATTCGAGTTTAAGGATTTTAGGCCTATATAAGGTCCTGCAAAACTGAAAATGCGCGCTGGTTGGCGCAACCACACCTAGGCTGTACATCCGAAGGCATCCATGCGTGGTCGGCTGAGACTAGCAGACCCAGTTCGTCAGGTTCCCTCCCAATGTCTCGGGAGCTTTGCCCTCAGCACCTAGGTTCTTGAGTAACCCCTTAATAATAAGGGTCCCCTTGTTTCTACTATTTGGTTTCCATAAGGGAACCATATACCATAAAAAGGGGCAAAATGGTACTACTCAGGAACCTAGGCACACTGCAAAATTGATCCGGGCCCAAGATGGCTGAGGCTCGCTGCGTGGCAGGGTAAGTTCAAGCTGCTCCCGGACGCACAGCTCCAAACGCAAGTCTTTTGGACGGTGCAGTTGCATCCGACAAGGGCTGGCTTCACCTTAGTTGACCACTTGTCTACCAAGACGCGAGAACAAACGGATCTCCTCAAAGTAGATTGTTAGGACTCAGACTCGCGAACAATGGGCACTGGACTGCCAAGTTGCTGGACACGAGATGAGGGCTTGGCACGCCCAGCTGATGCCGCGGGAACTGACACCCACCATGTGTAGAGTCTCTTGCTCCTTGCAAACCAACTCTG